CATCTGACCCATTTTAGTCCGCTTCCAATACAAACCAGTTCCGAAATGCCGTCCACTCCGACGAGTACACCTGGCCAAATGGCGTCATCCCTTACACAATTGACGGAGACCTTGCCGACCAAACCGAGCTGATTCAGAAGGCGATGAGCCAGATTCAGCGACACACCTGCATCAAATTTCGCCCCAAGACCGCCGATGACACCTTCTACATCCGCCTCTTCAAGGGCCAAGGGTCAGTCTAATATAACTAATAGAAAAAATCTTAACAAAACTTATCACTTTCTTTTCACATTATTGTACAGCTGCTACGCCTCAATCGGCCGCGACCCCGATTTTCCCGAGGGCCTCGTTTCGCTGGGCGAGGGCTGCTACTACGCCGGCACTGTGGTGCACGAGCTGATGCACACTATTGGTTACTACCACGAGCACAATCGCCACGATCGGGATGAGTGAGTAATTAAAATTACCCTTTTAANCAATTAAGTGGGCACTTGAGGTTAAGGATAAAAGATAGGGCAACATTATTATCATCTTTTTTTTCTCACGACCAGTCTTTCACCTCAGAGTTGCAATTTTGATGATTATTGATAGTGTTCAATTTTGTAATGTTAAAAAACTCAAATGAACACTTGACTGACCTTTGACTATCTCTTTTTTTGTTTTAGTTACCTGCGCATCTACCCCGACAACATCAACCCCGAGGACCTGGAGCAGTTTGACATCAACGATCGGCGGAATGAGCGCATCTTCACCTCTTTTGACTACAACAGTGTGATGCTGTACGGCCCGCGGGCCTTCAGCAAGGACCAGCACTCGATTACGATGGAGCCCAAGCTGGCCGGTTTCTACATGATTGAGGTCCATGAGAAGCCGGGGCTGACCAAGTTGGACGCGGAGAGTATCAAAAAATTGTACCGGTGTGCCGCATGATGAAAAAAGTGAAAATAAATATTAAAATTAGTTAAAGTAATTTATTTAACTTTCAAATGCAACAAGATTTTGCGCTTTTGTACAAAAACAACTGTGTAAACTAACGTTTTGCTAATCAAAAGGTAGTGAACTTGTTAAACTATCAATTTCGACAATTATACCAGAAGTTAGCTCACTAAGTGGTTTTGTAGTGCTAGACGGTCTATTAATAGCCTCAACGAGGATTACCGCAAATTCGTCCACGATTCTTTCAAAAATACGCAAACTTCTAGCAACAAGCTCCCTTGAGATTGAACCATTGTTAATCAACAATTTTGTTATAGCATTAATCAGTGAACTATCTTGCGAGAGTACTTTTTGCAATTGATTCAGAA